ACAAAACACCAATGTGCACACAGAGAAGCCTTAAACAAGTCTTCAAAGTACTAGTTATGAAGAGGGGCATGCAGACAGACTTGCTTGCAGCTATGGGCATGTGTGCATGCTTACCCTTACAAACACAATCCATCACTCTGTGTGACTCAGGCATGTTTCTGTGTCGTGTGTGTTCTGTTAGTGTCCCACCACTCTGACTCCCACTAGACCGACGACATAAACACTGTAACCTCATGTAACCTTCACTCATTTGCTGAATCAGACACTGGGTTTTATACTGAACAGATCATATACGCACTAAGTCTGTCCTGTACAAGTGCAGCACCCATCAATTTGCACATTTCAGAAAACATAACCTACTCCCATGTCCTAAACTGGGAACCATGAAATTCCCAACTGAATACACTGACAGTCCCGCTTTTTCCGACAGAAAGCCACAGCACTTTGCATTTGTAGGTTCTATAGCTTTTGGAATTAAATTACCGGTCCGTGAAAGACAGTTTACTGCTGAAACCTGTGCTCACGTGCAAACTGTGTTACAAAAAAAATGAAAGCTTGAGTTTAAAAAAAAAAAAAAAAAGCTACAGGTAGGGGTAAAACGTCAGGTAAACAACAAAGGTGTATGTCTTCTGCACACACCTCCCCCTTCCACAACTCTCACCTCCTCCACGGCTGAAACTGTGCTCCGACAGTCGCTCATTTTAGACTGAAACGTTGAAGTCCCCGGAGAAGACAAATCCTCGTTTGTCAGGACCACAAAGTCCGAAACGCTTATTCGCTCCGGCATGTTTCGGGCGAAGCGGGTCCGACAGTCAGTGAAGAGAAAAGTGAGGCAAAGTTACACGCGCGCATGTAATTCCCATTTGAAGTGGAAGAAGAAGAAGAAGGGAAACAGTACGGTCACTCCCTCCTTCCTTTACGGAAACTGAAAAAAATATATAATAAAAAAAACACCGTATTCCTCTGAGTTTGAGTTCCTTTGAACAAAGTCTTTAAGGTGGAAAGTTGAGTCAAACTAGACTTTGCGAGTCCCGAGCGACTCCGAGAACGTGTGCGCGTGAAGGTGCACCAGCGCGCTACTGTGAGCGCATTCAATGAGGGAGGGAGCAAACTCCACCGTCACGTGGGAATGTTTGTGATTTCTGGCAAACCAGAAACAGAGAGAAAAGCGTGTGTGTGTGTGTGTGTGTGTGTGTGTGTGCGTTCTTGTCACCACCTCTTTCATTAATACTTCTCATTTCTATGCAAACTATAGTCCGGTCGCCATGGATGCAGAATTCCTCATTCACAGACTTAACTTAAGGAGAAGAATTTCAATGGATGGGATGGTATGATAGGACTCAGTTTATCGACTGTCACTGAATGCTGTCTTTCAAAACTGCACTTTGCAGTTTTACCAAAACACTGGAAGGAAGAAAAGGTGTTTCTTTAAACCCGAGAAAAGGATTCTGGTTTTTATGTGCGCTGCTCTTTAATTATATGGCTCATTGCGTCTTTGCACCTTGATCCTCTTGGCTGAGGCTCCAAATCCTCCTTCTTCTTCCTTTTCATCTAATGAAAAGATATTTCTCAAAGGGGGAGGATTTCTGATATCCCTCCTCACTGACATTTCCTGTAGTCGTTTGGGGAGAAAAGAAAGGGAAAAAAGGGAAAAGAAAAGAAGACCTAGTGCATCAGAGAGGTGGGGGGAAAGGCAAGGGTTGTGTGTCTAACATAAGTCCTGCATGCCTGCTATTGTTAAGCCTGTCAACTTGAAAAAAGGAGTTGTATCAGTGAACATTGCCTCAGGCTGAGCAGCGATAAAATACACTATGAAGTGCAGATGGCTGATTTTAGTGGCTCCCTTTAGCGTTACCACAAAACCACATATTTGCCTACATTAGATACATGAAGGGAAAAACTGAATTGCAGCCAATTCAACAGGTAACTGATAATCTCTATCATATTCAATCAGCAAAAATAGGATTACTTTTTGTTTAAAGGATTTTATCTGTTCTCTTTTCCCGCTTATTACTGCCGCTCAGTGAACAAGCGCAGAATGGATGCAGTGTCTTAAATGTGGGCGCTCACAGTGGTACTGTGTGTGCGCAGTCACAAAGATAGACAAGCTCCTTTTGAATTGCATGTCGTGTTATTAAGCCAATAGCACAGACAGGCCAAAATGCACATGCATAGCAGTACAAGATATCATTGTTGTATTGCACACACACCCACCCACAGGCACACACGCTCACTCACACACAGAGCTTAAACTGAAAGCTCAAAGGGGGGGCTATGGGAAAAAAAAGTTCCTCTGGAGTCCAAACAAACATATCTCTGGTTTTTCCTTATGAGATAAGGCACAACACAATTTAAAATGTGGACCAAAGTCTCCAGAGGAAAAGCTGTAAAACCCCACTCTTTAACCTTTCAATCACTGTGAAAAAATGTGCACTCTTGAAAGGAAGTGAGGGCACACATCACATAAATAGGGTTGGCGACCCACTTTAGCAGGGCCTCATTCAGTCATTGTTTGTTGCATGGCTCCAAGTGTGAGGAAGCTAAGCAGGGAAAGACAGAAAACAGATATTGTATATTTGCAACTTGCATGGATACTTGCTGGCATCTATTATTGTGACATATGTGCAGCATGTGTGATTTCATGCTCACTGTGCATGCACTCATTTTTTTTTAATGCACTTCTAGCTGATGTAATGCAGGGGCTTGCAGTGTTCAAACAATACCCTCCTTCAGTTTCTTTGCAGCACTCAGTAAAGAAGCAGAGCCTTTGTATGCCAGCCAGCCTTTGAGCCCGGGTCCTATTGTAAAACTGAGCAAACCGGTCTGCTCAGGCAATGAACTAACATGTAGTGAAGAACCCAAGTCCAAGGCCAGGGTAGGCGGGAGAGAAGAGATGAAAAATTGACAGGGGAAAATTGTTTTCCTTTTTGTTCAGTGATGTTTGGAGTTTAGCAGTGAGAATTTGTGTGCAGGAAGGTCGACAAAGGTGGAATAACACAGGAATGCAGAAAAAGATCAAAGCTTTATTGGAAATGTGACTCACTTAATGTTTTCCCTCCTTGTCTCCACCCTTTACCGCCCTTTTCTTTTTAAATATTAAGAAACTCTCTTCTTCCCCTCTTAAGGGTAATTTAACTGGTTGCTTCCCTTTCATGCCACATCATTTCTTGTGTTAGAGCAAACTCCCCTCAGAGACTGCGAGCAGGGAAACTTTGGCAGTGAGGAAGTGATGTACATCGAATACAGCTTCTCTTTCTCTGTGACGCACACACGGCGTTGGAGGTTACAGCAACATCTTCCAGTAAAGATTAGAGTTGCCCGGATTTCCCTTCTTGCTTCCCAGCAGCCCAGAGGAGCAGGATAAGGTTCTTCAATGAACCCGGCCTCCAGCCACCCTCCCCCCCTAAAAAATATCTCCCTCATCTTGCTGCTTGTTGACTCAGCTCCACTAGCACTGCTATCAATTTACTACCCCTGTCAGGACACGGGGGCCCTGGCTTACCGTAAAATACCCCCTCTTCTGGTTGACATGGATGACTGAAAATTGGGGGACTGGGAAGACAAAGTAAAGTTGATTTATTGCAAAACACAGGGCTTTAGTTTCCCACTGAAATAGGCATATGAGGTGTATTGAATAGGACTGGAGCCCCATTGAAACTAATTTGCCTCAAGAACCTGCATTGAAGAGCAGCTTTGATGTAAAAAAAAATATATATATAGCTCTGACGTTAAGTGACAGCTGCTGTTTTGGAAAAATACATCATCTGTGACTTACTGACTGAGCACTGTCAGTCCAGGGCCATTCCATGCAGGTTCTCCGTGGTCTGGCTTCTGGATGGGCAACAATATTTACTCCACCCTCAAACAGACACCAATGCCAGTGTACCTGTTATTACAGTTGGTATGGTAACAAAAGGTTTTGCAGCGTGGGAAAAGGTAGACAGACTTGTTTGTGATTCATATTGATGTTAATTGCGCGCCATAGTGTCATCTGAGTCGTACGAGTGATACTATCCATGTAACTAATAGGTTATAAGTCCACCCAAAGTTTCCCAACCAAGCAGAACCGCTCCTCATCCTGGAGCCGTAAATAACAACATGTAGTGTTTTAAAGGACTGTGTGGGTATGTGCTGCAAACTGGTGAACATTAGTCAGAAAGAGGTATTTATAGTTTCTGCAATTAAATGATCCAGCTGACAAGATTTACTGCAGCTGATTGCTGCTGTAGCAGTAACAGAAACAAGGTAGCTTGCTCTTTAGATAGCATGCAAACCCTGCAGCCAGGGCTGTCATGTGATGCGTGACATGCTTGTTTAAGATCTCTTGTTCAGAACACGAGCTGTTCTGTAGTTTCCGTTAACAGACAGTTTGCAGAGAACCAGCACAAACTGTTGTTACTCACACCCTCTCTCTACATTGTAAGGAGTATAAAGCTTTATAAACTTCGTGTTGATCATAAGTCACGTGGATGCTCCTTGGAGTTCCATGCAAGCTTAGTTATTCCTAAAGAACTGTTCATAAACGCTGTACCGATCTCTGAAGAAACTTGTAGTTGCATTTCTAACTTTGCAGCGATGTGCAAACCCCTTTGACTAAAATTAATGACATAGTTTTTCCTTGCAGATTTTTCACCCCCAACACACCATTCCAGCGTGACCCACTGAACTTTGACCTGCTGATTGCTTGCTCCCTTTTGTGAGCGGTTTCCAAAGCAACAAGCTTGTGAAGAATGATGGGTGCCTTTGTGCACCTGTCTGAATGTGTTTATAGCTGTTTCAGTTTCGTTGTAACTATTGATGCAGACTTATTGTCACTCTTTAGGAAATGTCACTTGATATTAGATCAGTGCCTGCACTGTTTAAACTTTCGTATGGCTTCCACAGATGTCGAAGAATTAGCGATACGTCAGAATATCAAACCACGTCATACAAAGCAATTAATACGCATTCCGGTTTTTCTGACATGATTAAAAAGGAGGAACTCAAATTCATGTGTAAACAATGGCTGCAGTATATTTTATTTAATAACTTCACAATATTACAAATCATTAAGTGCTGAATGACTTACAACAGTCCAAAAAATTTTAGAAAAAAATAGGTATAAATACAAAATAAGTTATGTACAAATACCAAAAACAATAATGCTCATTGAAAAAAAACACACCCACACTACAAAATCTGAATTCACAATTCTCTAATCTACATTGTAAAAAACCTGCACGCACAAACGCACAACAACCATTTCCCAAGCTGTCAAATACGCACCACAACACTCAATTTCAAGTTTTGATAGGACAGGACAGTTAGCTTATCTCTGCAGTGTAGAGGGAAAGCCAAAAATATACCAAATTTTATATTTCCAGAACACTTCAAAAACACTTTTTAAAAACAAACAAACAGATTAAAGTCAGAGCTACTCCATCCTCAGGAGCACATCTCTGACGTGTAAAAGTGTTACGCCGCAGCAGGCAGGGAAAGTATTTGTGGGCCTAAAACCTGAACAGCAAAGACAAATTTCTCATTGTTTCTGTTTCTGCTGAAGTAACAGAGTTCATTCATTTTAAAACTAGCGGAAAAAGAAATTGCTCCTCTAATTACACCTCATTTACATCAATTAACCCCCTCCTCTCCCCCATCACCCACCCCTCTTCACCCCCCCTTGCAACACAGATGCTGCATTTAATTTGTTTTGGGTTATTTCCTAAGAAATACAATAGTAGTTTTACACTAATAAATTAAAACCACTCAGTTAAAGACAACTATTAAACTCAACAGAGCAACAACTGAAACAAAGCTGCCAAACCTACAAGGGGTCGCTCAAAGATTGTACATATTCAAAGAGATAAAAAAAAAAAATAGCCACCATTTGTCATTACCTCTGACTCGACTCTGGGTCACAGCCTGCACATTCAGGCACACAAGGCTTGACACAAAGCTTAAGGCATGAAAGGAGCAACATGAGCACCATTTGAAAACCAGTTTTAATGTCTAAAATCTATGCTGAGATCTCACCTGATGTGTATTCTCGAGCTGTAGATGCATGTCGACACTGAAGTTCATTCACAGCTTAATTTGATCAGTGGTGAAAACACTGCAAACAGACCCTGTGTGTATGGCTCTTCGTGGCTTTAGCTTACTTCGATCCAGTGATTGAATCCTGTAAAGCTGCATGGCAGTTAAAGCTGACATTATACAATGCTGCCCCCTATGGGCCAAAGAGTGGTACAAACAATTATTTAGACTTTGGAAACGAGGGGTAAAAAAAAAAGTTCCTGAGTTGGTCACGCTAAACAATGACTGATAAACAAATGCATCATCAGTTCTTTCGCTGACAATACGACATAAACAATAACTCCTGCTTTCTATGAGATTTACTCGACTTACTGCCCAAATTTACTATATATACACAAATATTTTCACTTTATAATTTAAACAAAGAAGTTGATTCCTCCATCGGACATTAAAACAGATGGCTTCATAGTGTAATAGTTTGTCCCAAGAAGGCATTCGATTAAATATTACCCTTCTTCTCCCTGAATTTTCTCTGCCCCATCCCTTCATCTAAGCCTCAGCTTTTCAACAAATCTCCGAGATCGTAAGTGTCGAAGAAGTCTGACACTCCCTCGCTGTCCTCCAGGCTCCAGAGGTAGTCATCGTGGTCCAAAGGTGGAGAAAAGCTGACAAAGGGGGTGTTGGGGTCTGAAGTGAAGGAGGTGCCAGGAAGCTGGTCCTCGGTTATCTGAAGCAGGCTGGGCGGCAAACCCAGCAGACCCTCTACGTCAAGCAGAGAGGACGTGGAGGTCACAGCTGAGGAGGCGGCTGGAGCTGCTGCAGAAATGTTGGCTGTGTTGAAGAAAGCGTTGGAAATTAATTTTGTGCTAAGGGCACTGGATTAAAAAACATTTAGAGAGGTGGTGTACTGCTACACTTTTCTTTTTAGCTTCCTAAATTTGAATAGTTTTTACATCTTTTATCTTCATACAAGTTCTATTTTTATTCTCCTCTTGTGCACATACTCCCTGAGTTTTCTGTTGTTTTTTATGCTTTCAGCTGAGGGGTTAAATAATGAAAAAGTTAAAGGAACAGTTCAACATTTTTTTGCAGAATGCAAAACAAAATACAACAACCAAACAAGCAGATTAAATAACATGCCATTTGTTTCATTTGTCACTGATTTATCATGGCATCGCATGAAACCGCCAACAAGAAGTGTGACCTTTCTGCTTTAATGGTGCTATTTGATCTTTGGACTGGCTCCAGCTGAAGAGGCGCAATTCATTTTTAATATTCTGGAAGCCTTGGGATAAAATCACTTTGTAAAACTTGTAAAACTAAATTAATGCTAGTTGCAAAACTAGATGCAGTCTAAGACTGGGGTACGATCAAAGTAAGGGTAGCTCAAATAAAGGTGGTATTCTGTTCAAAACTCAAAGCTTACAGTCAACAGGTTCCTCTTTGACGCTGTAACTCGGTGGTCCTATTGGGGTTGCAGCGGGAGGGTCTTGCGTTTGAGGGAATTCCTTTTTGGGAGTGATAACGCTCTTAACAGGACTAGCTTCTTCAAGACCCTCATCAGGACATAGGTAGACTTCTATGGGACCATTTCTACTCTTTAAATAGATCTGCAAAGACCCCTGCTGCAAGGAAACAAGAGAAGAAGCAATTATTTATCAAAACAATCTGACATCAGGACAAATGCACAATTTAAAGAAAGGAGGGGTTAAGGGGACAAACTGAAACATAAACCAAATCTCACCCCTGCTGTGTCTGGCACCTCAAGCTTGGTCTCTGCAGGGGCTTTAACAGCAATGACTGTCTGGTCTTGAAGGCTGCCGATGGAGCGGATGTCTTGATATGTCACATAGCCCAATGTGGATCATGGGGTTAAGGGTAACAACAGTGGAATTTAAATACACGTGCGTGTGTGCTTGTCTTTTTTTTCTCTTTTATTATTTTTTGGCTATATCTGGCTACTTTACTCTCAGATTCATATTAGTAGGAATCTGAGAGTAAAGTAGGGAAAGACGAACGTCCCTGCTGCCTTTTAGCACCAAGCAAGCTACAGTGGAACATGCCAACAACAAGTGGAAACGGAGGTCATGAAAGAATGATGTGGATAACCACGGTGCTCTATGTAAAGGATATCTCTGACTCTCTTTATATTCAGTGAGTTGTTTGAGCTGTGTGGTGCTGGACTGAATCTGTTCATCCAGAGATCTCTCTGCTCTCTCTAGGTCTCCAAGCTCTTTCCTCAGGGCACGGGCCTTCTCCCCTCCACCCGCTCCACCTTCAAACACGTCCCCAACCCTGGAGAAACACACACATACACACAATAAACACGTCTATGAATAATAAAAGTCTGTAACAGTCAAAACAACTCCACACGTTAAGGTAGTGTCTACAACTGGCACTGCAATGTCTGCTGACTGCCACTAGGGGGCAGACAAGCGAGTACCAGTATGAAGTTTTTCTTCCTTTTAATACTTCATGAAGAATAAAAGCAACGGAGACATTTTTAGAATGCAATCAAAGCCCAGTATAAATAGACTCAAGAACAATTGGTAGGTTTTTTTTTTTTGCAAATGTCTATACATCTCTCTTTTTTACTAATTAGTCCACAAAGTGTGCAGCATAAAAACACTACTTTGTAAAATCATTATAAAAATCTAGAGTAAATGTCTTATAAAAGCAAACTTCTATATGATATTAATATCTTGTCTCAGCTGTTTGTCTCTGCATTGCACTATGTTACACAGCTTTGTTAATAAGGCCAAATTGCTGCTGTCAACAGTCCTGCTTTGCCCAACATTATTGTGAAAGTCTGTAAGGAACCCTAAATGCCAAGGCTTCACTTAACAGTTACGCAGTCCCTGGTTTGCTTCTGTGAGCTACACGCAGTTGATAAACCTCCCACTATTCCTGCTACTTAACCTTCTTCTGCATTTCTACTTACAGCCACTGGATGTTGTTTTTTGACTTCTTCCTGATAAGCTGGACTCCCTCTAGAACATTGGTGATGTCATAAATGCGTCTTTTCTGGACCTCCAGGACCTCAGTGGCCCAGTTCAGATCAAGGACTCCATCAGGAGACTCAGCAATGAGACCCACAAATTTCTTGGTCAGCAGGCCCAATGACGTGTCGTACCGCGTCCGCTCCCCCGGAGATTTTGGAGCTGCGAGGAAACACACAGAAAAGTAGCGCATAAGACTAGAAATGTGCTTGAGTTATACAACTCAGATTTTTACTAATTCATTCAAGTGTTTTATTTGGCTGATGAGCTGGCGGAGAGATCACTGATTCAAATATTTACTGTATTAGTCATACAAGCTGTTGACAACAGTGAAACATGAAAACAAACAGTTATTGGAATGTGTCAACTAGATTTATTTCTGCCTTTATGTTTTACTTTCTATGTTCGATATCATGTTCGATATTACAAATAATCCTCCAAACAGCAATATTTCTTCCTCGCACGGAAAATATGAAAATAAGAGCTATGGGTACAGTATTGTAAACCAGAAACAGCATCTGTCTCCGATGACTGTGTCTTCATATTGCTTTAATCTGCTACAGGTTTAATAATCAGTCTTGATTAGTTGGACGTCTCTGCTCCTCTGCATCAAAGAGCTAGTTTAGGTGGTTTAGGCAGCTCCAGCTGGTGGGAATCTTTGTGTAAGACTCGGGGCACATCGGAGATTATGGCCCTCTGTTGTCTTGGGAACACTAAAGTATTCTCCCGGAATACTGTGAAAGAGGTCCTGGCATCTTACTGTGCTCTCCCCGTGACTCAATGACATATAACCACACTGGTGATAGAAGTTTGACTCATCAACAGGTCTGATAATGTTAGTAATAACATATTCTCAGGGCTCCTTAATTCCAGAGAATTGTCCATCAAACAATCATAAGACATTGCAATTTCATAACTGAGAGACACGGCAGACCGCATATTCCTCCCTGATCTGTCATTCCCGCTGAGCTGTGAGATTTGAGATGTCGTTGGGAAGGAGGCGCTAGCTTGTGTATTCTAGGAAAAGAATGTCAACAAGCTAGTTTATGATACTGGCTCTCTACTCCTGGCTACACCATTGCTTTTTTTTTTATCTGTTATGTGTAAAGCTGTATGCAACTGAGCTGCTGGTACTGCACTCTGTGCTCATATGGGTGAACTTCGCAGAAAGTGAGGAAACTATTGCGGAATACTTCAGCAGTAGTCTTCCTGCCATGTCAGTCTGACCCATAGCAAACAGGTCTGTTCGTGTTTGTTCACAACCCAAAGGGTCAGGACGCAATCAGGCTGAGGTCGTGTCATGCGAACCTGGCATTACCCACCCTGCCTGGGTTCAGATTAATGCTAAAGAGTACCGTACAATCAACTTCTTTTCATTGTTTGCTTTTATTCTTTTCTTTTAATGTCGAACTGCTTCTTCCCTTTGCACAGTACAAAAAAATATTTTCCACCCACTGATGTGTACCACACCACACCAACTTTATTTATAGAGCACTTTCAACGCCGTCACAGCAGACACGACGGGCTGTACACAAAAACAACAAAAGATGTACAGTCTACTCACTCCTTGGGCTTGGTATCCGTGCTGCAATGCTGCATTTTCCTTTTGGCGTACGAAACTCTGGCAGATACAGAGGGTCTTCTAAATCCAGCTTCCTCTTGGCCTAGAGGGAAGATGTTTATCAAAGATTAACAAAAAGATGCAAATGTTACAAAGCAGGTGTGACTTACAGCTCTAGTACTTCCTCTGTATTAACTGCTGTTTCACTACATAAGAACATGCAAACGGCGTATAAGACTGAAATCCTTCCAATCCCAGTGTAGGCTGAAAAAAAGCACATTATGGAAGGTGTTTAACTTATCCTACTGACTTTAAATAATGGCTAGTTAAAAAGCTGAAAGAATCAAATAGTTTGTAGGGCAAGTCCAGACCTTTTGTAGAACAGTAGCATGAATGCTAGACGGCTAAATAGGGGCTTGTTTAAAAGTACCATGTCGTAAATGTGCCAACAACCCTCAAGTGCAGGAACAAAGCACCCCCCACACGCACACTTTCCCAAGCACTTCAACAGGGGCTGATTTTGTTTGTCTGCAGTCAACAGAAGCGGGAGGTCTATAGGCCCGACTCGTTGCCTGCCATACGTCAGGAAGTCCCTGGAATCACTCAGTGACCTCTCCTCCCCCCCCCCAACCCTCTTCCTTCTGTGCTTAGCACACAGGTTCCTCACAGAGACACACGCGCGCACACAAGCAGAACATTATCTGACCATAACAGGGATGCATCATACAATCAAAAGCACATAAACAACCTTTGTAACCCAATATAAAATCTTCAAATGACCATTGCTTTTTTTTCCCGCCATCCACTGGCCTACTTAGCTGAAGTGAAAGCGCTACTCTCTTAAGGATTAGGGAATTACCACCACACCCCACGTGCAGATATGCTGTCATCATCAAAAGTTCACGGTGGACGAGAACGTTTGCTGTCAGTTGGAAATCCAACAACTGCCCACACAAAAACACAATGACTGAGCTAGTGAGGCAATGGCATTTCACCTCAGCACACTCTGGCTGCTGGGTAATTTGTAGTGCATGGCTAGATCTCACAAACTCCTTTCACCGTGTCTCCTCACAAATAATCCCTTTTGCCACGACAGTGTACATGCGGCCAGTGAACTGTTTTAGTTAACAGGTTTAGGGTAATTGCTTTTTCAGAGATGGGAAAAGCAGGGAGTTCACGTTACCGCGTGTGGATGTGCCTACGCATGTGCGAGTAAAGGGATAATGAAGGCTGCCATTGTCCCCCAGTGTTCTCCCTAACACGTCCACCTGTTGACTCGTGACATCTGGAGCAGCCCCGTGCTGCTGGCAGGCTGGATTTTAATCCCTAAAACACACAGTCAGGCATACAGAGACACCCGCAACAGGACGGTGACCAGCTACCGAAGAACAAAATGCTCACTGTTGCCTCTAAAACGACCTCTTGCACGATTCAAACTTTGAGTTTTCATTGGCCGATGGTCGTGAAAGTCGCTATCAAACACTTGGAGTCGCAGAAAGGAAGCAGATGATACCAGTTGGACTGCCTACAGCCGTGACAGCTGTGGTTTAACCAGAGAAAAACTGCCACAGCTTTCCATTGACTCAGTGTCCCAGCACAAAGAAAAAAACGTCGCATTTATTCACCAAATAAGGCTGAAGATTTGTCATTTCTATGACTTAAAACGAGCAGGTCAACATGTGTCAAGTCAAACTTTTTAATGCACGTGTACAATTTGAGTCATAGCCTGATGCATGATGACTTGTAAGAATGGAACCAGCGCTTTCCCCCTGCAGCTGTACATCAGAGTGAGGGCTTGGGTGCTCCTTCATTTGCATGAGTGCTTTCTCTGGTGATTCAACCATATTACACAAACCCAAAGTCATTTAGAGGAAAGACCTTTTTTTTTAAATTCCTCACTCAACAGACTAACAGACCACTGAAAGAAGAAGTGCAGCTATTGAGAAATGGTTACATTTTACAGAAAGTGCACAGGTATGCCGCCTAGCACACATCACTTTTAAGGTGTTATAACACAACATTGTGAAAATCTGAATCCAAAAGCGTTCACACCCTAAAACTAGCTCTCGCATACGTATGGTGCAGCTATAAGAGACGATGGGAGAGGCCCGAGTCAGCTGCCCTCCTTATTAGCACTTTATCTCAAAGACTGGCAGTATCACGCCACTCACGTTCGCTATAACCTCACCCTGCCTGATTGCCCAGTTACGCCCATCTACTGCATGTGTCCCCTTCTGTTTGCTGTATATTCTTTGGCCGGTTCCCGCCGTCTCTGCCGCTGTGCTGTGAACTCCACGCATGTAATCATAATCACGTGAAGGGCTTCTGCAGTCGGGCCTCTCCTCAAACAAACAGATCTTGCTAGTCAGGCTGCACCAGACTAGATTCCATCCAGGCAAAGGGCAAGTTTCAGTATGTCTACAAGTACCTACCGCTCTGTACTGAGCCCCTTCACTACCACACCCTTGGACATAAAGGAAAAACAAAAGTTGCACTACAACAGCCTCTTAAGCGGCTAAACAGAGGTGTGGATCCGTCCCCACTGTGGCTTGCCTGCCTGATGAGGGTAAGCTGCTTTGAAATGCAAAACTTCCCCTATAGAGAGCATTGCGCTGTAGGACTGGTATTTGCCTGAAGCTGGGGTTAAATGGAAAACACACCAACAAAACAGATAATAGAGAGAATGCATACAGTTGGTACTGTGTCCAATATCACACCAAAGCATTAGCCTGAATGGGTTGTTAACCCTAGGGGCTCAAAAAAGGTCAAACCAGAGCTGAAGGTCGGTTGCAGGAGACGTGTGTGTTCCTAAAAATTACCAAGGGAGAAAGACTAAGGCATTGGCTGACATCCGTAATCCCTCAGTTGTGGTGGATTGTGCGCATTCCATGAAACTCCGAGTACACGTCACATAAGCGGGGAATAAATGGGACATTGTTCCTGGTGAATATTATGGAGATGCATCCTGTTGCCATACCGCTGTTTGACTGTACTGAACTTTGCCTAAACTGACAAATTCATTCATCCGCAGTCCAATAAGAGAAAAGGGCTTCCCTGGACTTTGGCTGGAGGTCTGAATACTGTAACACATTTACATCCCTATCGAGCTGAAAGGAAGCAGAGACAACAGTTTATCAACAGTTTACACACCCTGGTTAAAATTCACATGCCAATAGCTGATACGTTGCCTTTTTCTAGAGTTGGTGAGATTAATAAGTAAAGACTGGATCTCTGCAGCTGAAGTTTACTAAAATCAGTCAAATATTAACCTTTTTTTTTATTTTTGTAGGTAGGTGCCTACAAAAGTGTGGGACTTTGTGTAATGTGTTCAGAGAGTGTTTTGATTGTTTGTACTTAAAAGAAATAAATGCTAAGCTTTAGAATCTGGTTTCCCAGTCAAAGTTTTAAAAAAGGAAAGCTTAAAGAAAAAAGCTGTGGTTATAATGTTGTATAGGTTAAAGGAAGTGAGCTGTAAGTACATGAAAAGGCCACACTTCCTGTAAACAGAGGAGTCATGACTGAACATGCACTGAAACAGCTGTGTCAGCAGCACATTATTATCTTCAGCTTCTTTACTGTCGTCAATAAAACTTCATAATATCATCACATCAAATGTATCCTGCAAGATAGCTCCCATCAGCCATCGCAACTCAAATGTCGTGACGTTTAGTCATTCAAACCCAATCATAATGATAATGACATCCTTGTGTCAAAATCATATTAGTGCAACAAAACTAACGTATAATAGAAGGAATACGCTCAAACATCATTAAAGCCCACTGTACCACTTATTTCTAGACATGGGAATCAAATCACATGAAATTCGTTTAAAAACAGAAACTTTAAGGTGGGTTCACTCCCTTTGATTAAGTTTACCCAAATTACTGAAGTGATCCAGAGGAAGTTTCTTAATCAGAGAGCTTTTTGAAACCTCATCCGTATTTTCAACCGTGCCGTCGCTTCTGTCAACCCGAACTAGGCTCCTGTTTTTCTGGTAAATTGAAACGTGCACCTGTGACAATGTGCAACAACTGAAAATATTCAAATCCCTTGAAAACAGAAGTTACCGTGGTCACAGTGTGCATGCACAAAAACACAGGCGACATGACTGCGTACACGGGGGTCGTGTCATAAAGTCTACTGAACCACATCAAATCCAGTATGGACCGCTTACATGGCCAAACTTTAAGGTTGGATTTCAAGGGGAAGACCAGGTTATCAAGCATGCACGTAATATCTCTAGAAACCAACAATGCATACACACTTTGACAGCAGTTAGGTTCACATTGGCACATGATATGCCAGGTGGTACCCGATTTCTCACTTTACTTATATCCATCCAATCCTCTTGAAGGGCCTATTACGGCTGGGGATTTGACATGAGATTTGAAAACCCTGTATGCACTCTAACCCCTTTAGCGTTACTGCAATTCATTAAATCTAAAAAAAGACTCCAGGGCTGACGAGTCAGCTGGAATAAAGACACCAAATACAACAAACAACAACAGGTGTGGAGCACTAAAAAGCTGCTGAGTGTCATCCAATCTTCTCAGATCAGGATTTTCAAATAATCTTCAGCATTCGAGTTTAAAATGAACGACATTACTTAACATCATTAAAGCCAACTGTGTATGTGTTTTACAAAACAGGTTAATCCTTTACTTATTGGTGATGCTTAGGGCTTCCGATCGTAATACTGTCACACTCCAGACTCCACACTACACCTGTTCTGTGGTTATGACCTCTGACCTATGCTTCCTTCCCACAGTCCAACACAGACCCTGTTTTGACATAATGGGAAGTGAGGGTGGAGCATCTGTTGTGTGTGTTATCTCCCATTACAAGTGTTGGGAAGCTATGAATTTGCCTTAAGTGTCTTTCCTCCAGCTTGGTCGAGCCCCTGCATTGTTTGCTTGTATTTAAAAAAAAAAACTAGCTCTGCTGCACCAAGGAGGGGGGACACTCGCTATTTGGGCACAAGAGAGTGGGGCCTCTCTCTAAGCACCCCCACTGCTCATCAAAACCATCAAACACAGAACAAGGCGTCTGGCCTTGTCTTAGCTACAGCTGGACTGCGGGAGAAGATGTCACGCAGCCTGGCATGGATAAGGAAAAAAAATAGAAAGAGAGAAGACACCAGTCATGCACATCAGCAGAAGCAGCCACAGTGGCCTCTCTGTGGCTTATCACGTCAAAACATATCTGAATGCACCCTTCTCAAACATGCATAGCAATGAAAAAAGTTAAATATTCCTCCCCCGGACATATGCATATCATTCGCTGGATATTAAACAGTAAGGAAACACGACCCCAGGCTTGTATTTGTATGATTATTTACCGGCAGTCGCCCGGAGGATGATCGGATGGGTTTAACCTCGGGTCCATGGGGGGTTGAATACAGGCTGTTGGCTCTTTGTTCGGCCACGCTGGTGTTGCAGATCTGGGTGAAATATCCGGCCGGTACCGTGTTCATCTGCGGACTGGACAGTCCGGTGAGGAAGAAGTCGGTCTTCACTCCCCCGGTGGACAAAAGCTTCATCTTCTGCTGAGAGCAAGGCAGCCCCACTGCCTGCCGACCCGATGCCGGCGAGACGCCTTTAGGCATCCGCATCATTTTCCTGAGTAGACTAAATTTAACCGGACCGGTGAGGCGAAGGCAGAAGTGTGCCTGTACTTGAGCACACTGAATCTCTCAGCAAGCTTCACTTACTGCGGGACCTCTATGAATATATTAACTGCCAATACTGTAACACACAAACAAAACAAAAGCAACTTTCACAGCGTAAACTGCCGAATTAGCTGCAAGCCGCATGGATTACACATGCAGTACACGCTTATATGTTATAATGTGACGTTTATCCTTAGTACATTTAACAGGCTGGTCGGTGTTGTTATCCTTTGTCCTGTAACAGTGTAGAGGAAACTTGCCTTACCAGTTATAAAGAATAGCTTCCTGAATAAATAAACTATTTCAAACGTCCAGAACTTTAAAGCTTAACTCTTCAAGGCTTCCAGGTCTCACTGAGATCCGGTTCCAGCTAGAGATTAATAAATGATTGTGACTCCCTCTGGTGCTGAATCCGACCCAGTATGCCACTCCTGTCCGTCCACCTCAGAGCTCCTCTCTCCATACAAGGGGGCAAGAGCTGGGGCAGAGCAGTCTTTTTACCGCCAAACTTCATCCCGCGAAATTCGGATCTCCCGCGGCTGAAAGCCGCTTCTGATTGGCTTATGGCACGTTCAGCTTGTCTAATTTGCATAAAACAGTTGTACGGGGATGGGAGTGATCTGCTTAAAGGGACAGGAGCACAAACCGAGACATGGTGTTCTTTCATTGCCAGGCTGGATATGGAGACAATGACCAGCCCAGACTTTATAATCACACGTTAGAGGCGCATTATTGTTGTTGAAGCACTTTTTTATTGCCTTTTTAACTCCACTTGTAACCACTTACTTGCATTTTACAGCATCCCAGTTCAGTTCCTTGACAGTCAAAGATTACAAAAACGGTTAAACATTAACTTCATATGTTTATATGAAATTTGCAGTGTTTAAAAATGAAGTCTGATTCTGCAAACGGCGCAATCATGTACAGTATGTTCAAATAGTGCCGAATTGCTCTCTGGGTAATCAGGACATAATAAAATATGTATATTAGAAATCAGAGGGCAAGAAAGGATTGGAAAGTTTTTTCATAAGTTTTATTTTTTTTAATATAATTAAATATACATTGTATGTTTTTTTGTAAACAATAAAGACAATTTTGCTTTATTGTATTCCATGTGATCAAAGTGTATTGTTCTCTGTTACAAGGTGTTACTGGGGTAGTTTATAGATGATAATTGGATTCACTCAGTACCACTCCTGCTTATTGGCTCAGAGGAGGTATTGAAAGAAAACACCCCCTCCCCCATTAGCAGCAACCAAACCCAAGCCATATGACTTGACCCCCTTGGCCAAGACAAAGTAGACTCTCCACCAAAGCAGCCCCATTGTCCGGCGTCAATCTGAACTGCATTTTGAATGAAATAATCAAAGTTGAAAGTGGTTTGAATGCACACAAAAAATGATTGTTTGTTGTGCATCTGTGCCTTTAAAAAACCGAGGGTGAAGAAAAAAGCTGACACAGTTGCCTTCTTATTACACTGGATTAGAGATCAGGAGATAATTCTTAATTGTCAGATGAAAGAAATTTGCTTTGTTACTGCACTGGATGCCCACAGAGTGCAACGTATATTATCCCCACCCTCATGTTTCTTCCTCTTTCACACACAATCCTGCACAATTTGTAGGTGTTCTTGCATAACTAGCAATACTGGAAATTCAGATTCATGTTTCATTCCAACTGCATGACATGCAACATCTCACAGCATTCTAGTGATGTACATTTTGTACTTTAAACTTTGTTGTTTGTTTCTTTTCTTTTTTTAAATCACTAGTGATGTTTCTCTCTGTCACATCATAATTTGTGATGTTTCAAAATGTGTTCAGTGTATCAAACTGTGAATTTGTTTTATGAAACTTACGTGGAGTTAAATGAGTGTTGGGACAGGTACACATTTATTGTAGCTTTGCTTCCTACACCACCAAATGGCTGTGCTATTTATAGCCATTTGTATACAGAGTCCTCTATTTTCAGTAACGGCGCAAATGATGACTGAAGTAGAACCAGGAAACATCACTAAATGCTGTTTTTCCTCCCTTGAGGCACTCTGCTAGGCCTTTACTGCAGAAATGTCAGCTGCTGCTTGTTTATGGGTCTTTCAGCAGTTGTTTTTGTACTTAGTGAACTAAATGCATGCTAGATGGGGTTGCCAGTCAGGTGACCGACTTAGCCCTTGATATCTCATTGTCTTGAGAAAATCTTGGGTACCTTTTGCTGTATGCTTTTGGGTCATCATTCATCTGTTTTGCAGCATCTGACTGAATCTGAGCAGAGAGTATAGTAATGCACATTTCAGAATTCATGCTGCTTATATCGGCATTCATATAATCGATAAACACTAGTGATCTAATTCCACTTAGAGCCATACACCAAGCAGGCATAACAATATGACAACTGACAGGTGAAGTCAATAACACTGGTTATCTCCTCATCATTACACCTGTTTTTGAGTGGGATATATTAAGAAGCAAGTGAACATTTTTGTCCGCAAAGCTGACAAAAACAGGAAATATGGGCAAAGATTAAAGCAAGCTTGACGAGGGCTAAATTGTGAAGGCTAGAACTCCAAAATTGCAGCTCTTGTGGGGTGTTCCTGTTCTGCAATGATCAGTATCTTTTAAAAGTGGTCCAAGGAAGGAACAGTGGCAAATCAGTGACAGGGTCATGGGCAGCTAAGGCTCACCGAAGCACGTGGGGACTGAAGACCTGTGTGATCCAATCCAACAGACGAGCTACTGTAGCTCAAACTGTTGAAAAAGTTGATGCTGGTTCTGATAAAAAGGTGTCAGTCAGGGGGCTCTTGCTGACCTGTGCCCACTACTGAAAGCGTCAACAATGGTCAAGTGCGCATCAGAACTGGAGGAGAAAAGCCTCATCTGATGAAGCATGTTTTCTTTTACATCACATGGATAGCCTGGTACGTGGTGTCACTCACCTGGCACAACAGCGAGCACCAGGATCCACCACAGGAAGAAGCCAAGCCAGTGGAGGTAGTGTGAGGTTTTGGGGAACATTCTGCTGGGAAAACATGGGTTCTGCCATCATGTGGATGTCATTTTGACACGTACCAAATACCTAAGCATTGTTACAGACATTTACACCCTTTGATATATATTATATATTATATTCTCTGATGGCTGTGGCCTCTTTCAGCAGGATAATGCGCCCTGCCACAAAGCAAAAATGGTTCCCCAGATCTCAATCCAATCAAGCATCTGTGATGTGCTGAGCAAACAAGTCCAATCCACGGAGGCCCCACCTCACAACTTACAGGGCTTAAAGGATCTGTTGCTAACATCTTAGTGCCAGTTATCACAGCACATCTTTAGGGGTCTAGTGGAGTCCATGCCTCCATGGATCAGGGCTATTTTGGCAGTAAAAAGGATGGTCAACGGCATATCAGGCAGGCAGGCAGTCGTAATGTTATGCCTAATTGTTGTACATGCTCATCCCATAACATCCCCTCTACCATGTTTGGCAATGTGGTATGCTTCTGGTCATGGGTGGCTGCAGCTGAGGTTGAGCAGATTGCCTACTCGCAAAGTCAGTGCTTCGATCCCAGACTACTCCACTCTGTATTGAAGTATCCTCGGGCGAGAACCCCCGCTGCGTCAATCAACGTTAGAGCAAATATTTGTGGTACTTAGGTATATAGAAAAAAAAGCCCTTGTAATAATGTGTTGGATTGGGTGAATGAGAGTAGTAAAAAGTGCTTTGAGTGCTCCAAGTAGAAAAGCATGATATAATACCAGTTTATTTATCACCATCATGAGCCATTCCTTTCTTTCTCCATGCTTTTCTCTTCCCATCATTCTGGTACAAGTTAATCTTGGTTTCATCTGTCCAACATTTTTCCCCCCAGAACTGTGCAAATTCTTTGAGCTGTTTCCTGGCAAAGACTAATCTCTCCTCATTGTTCTGGAGGGACACCAGTAGTTTGCACTTAGTTATAAACCCTCTGTATTTAATAACAGACCTTGAGAGTGATACACCCACCTGTTTGAGAATGTTTTCAACGATGTCTTCAGTGTTTTCTGAACAAAGAAGGTTATCCTATAATCATGCACTAGTTCAGTCTTTTGGGCATTTCTATGTTATTGAGCTGGTCAGGGTATTCATTATTTTTAAGAATATACTAGACTACTGATTTGCACCTTTCACCACCAAGTTCAACAATTGTAATCCACTCCAGATTTTTCACCTTCTGAATTTGTCACATAATAAGAAGAGAACTGGGCTTACTTGGCCACGAGACAGCTTGTCAGTCATTTGTCCACTGTGCTGCTGTAAAGAAGAAAAATCATTTTCAAATTATTGTGCAATCCTACATTTTGAGGTTGGCTGCTTCATTTTGACACTGAGAGCAACAGTTCTTGATGTCAGGAGGCTCCATCCTCATCCAACAGCCCCATCTAGTGTGGACTGGCAGCTGATCTTCATGTTGTTTGCTGCTTGCAATAGTCTTCTTCATTACTTAACCAGATTAACATACATGATTAATGTTTAACATTGGTGTTAAAGAATAAATACAAAAATGTTTGACATGTTTTTTATTGGTTATTTGTCTGCAGGTTTTTCTTGTTGGCAACCTTTCAGCTGGCACTGGTTAATATGTGCGTAAATTTGGTTAAACTGGTGGAAAATACTGGTTTGATATTTACCTGGTGTGTATTCTAATGGGTAGGAGAGCCAATTTATATCCCAAGTGATTATTTTGATGACAAGATTGTGTCCTACTTGTGTTTTCTCCCAGTGTTTTTGCCAGTCAAAAGAGTCCCAAGACTTCCTAAGTGCTTTTTAAAGGTTCCAGGCAGCACCTAGTGATCGAAGAGGGGAATGAATAGCCATAATAGTTTTATTGTAGATTTTAGGTGGTAGGCCGAGTGGGAAAATATTTCATAATAATAGTTGTAATTATTTTTACAGTATTGATTTGATGTTAAGAAACATTATTAGAAAAGATTTGTGTGCAGTTTATTATTTTACGTTAGCATGTATGTCTCATATGGCTTGAGACCCAATTAGCAGCAGTTAATTGGGTTAACTGCTGCCAGTTAACATCCTGCTGGAACCAGGTCCCACCACTGGCTACATGGTTTTATTTTTTTGTTATGTTTTGGCTTTTATTTTTTATTTTTTATTTTTTAACGTTGGTGAACAAACACGTGGGTGGTCTGCACCTCATCTCTACCACAAGCCTCCTATTTTAAGCCACCTGCTATGAGCCATCCTAACACTGTTATTTTAAAATTAATTCCTTTATTATCGTTCAGCACTACATCACTGATATATTGCTGAACAAAATTATATGCACAGGGAAAAACAAGAACGTCACAATAAAAAAAGACAACAAAATGAAGAAAAGTAATATATACAAAATAGAATCTACAGCTGAGCTATATATACATACTGTCCACTTATTAGTCTGATAGCAGTTAAGCTGTCGTGTAACCTTGTTGTCCTGAACTTCAGGCTGTGGTGCTGTTACTATTAATAATAACGTACACGAGCATTTTAAAAGTATATAACATATATAATATTAAATATGAAGTCCATATAGGTAGTAATATATATATATTGTATCACAAAATATTCTCCACCGTGATAACTTCCTACGACGAGAAAAGCCAATAACGCATTTGCACCACTAGATGGCGATGCTATTACATTATTAGCTGTACGAGGAAGGTTAGAATTGGGTCATCATGTTTAACTCTTCTCCCTTGTTGTTTTGTTGTTGTTAGCTTTCTTCTATTTTCAGATAAATAAATAAATAAAAACAAAGAAAGAAAGAAAAGTGCAAAACTTCCGTTCAGTGTAACTATTGTTCTAGAGAGATACCGGTAGTGTGTGTCAACATCTAATTCCTGAAATTCCACACAGATCCAAGCGTTTGTTCAGCTTTTGGAAATTGTCTACAGTCATACTTCACATACTGCCCATGCATTGTTTCACTCTCTAATTAATATGATTTCATAAGGAAAGCTTCTCTGTAAAAACCATGGAAACATCTTCCTATCTTCTTTTTTTTAAAATTGTATAGTGCTACCTCAAGAGTGGTGCTTTTTAGCTTTCTAGGTAGGCAGCATACCTCTATACACTGGTGTCATGAAGGTGACATTTTAACAGGATTTATGAATGATCAGATGCACAGTTTTACAATCACATAACATCCTCTCTTACACCATTTAGGAAATTCAATCGCTATGAACTGGTTTCTTTGGAAAAATAGAAACACTGAGAGGAAACTCCCTTTGTTTGATTTCCAACCACTCAACCTCAAGATTCATCTAAATACATCCTGTTGTATCAGCATTTCACTGTCATCCAAAGCCAGAAAGTCACGTCAGCATCCCCATCGTCTTCAGAAGAATACGACTAGTTCAAACTCATTCATTTTTCTAGACCAAACACACCACACCAGGAGAACGGTTTCACATTCTTCTTCTTCTTCTTTTTTTTTTTATTTCATTACATAAAAACATACATGTACATACAAAGCAAACTTTATAATAAAGAGTTTATGAAACTCACAGCACATTGTCTGTAGAAATAACACAATCCCTACAAACATTTACAATTGACTCTAGTATAGAGTTCTGATTATACCTAAGACACGCAAACTCCCAATCCCCCCCAAAAAAACAAAAGAAAAAGAAACATCCATATTGATTCACATTTCACACCCCAGCAGATATGTACACCTTCTTAAGAAGTTTGATTAGTCCTCGAGATTATTAGAAAACATGTGTTTTGCTTTTGGGGAGGGGGGAGGGAGGGGGTGATAATTGTGTGAGGTGATATGAGACTTGGATACAAAGTTCAGGTTGTGTGTCCACAAAAACTTTTGTTTGGAATGCAATAATAAAAGAAAAGAACAGAACAGAAACGAAAAGAAAAGAAGAACAATTCCTCCGACTATCTATAAGGAATCCCAGGTTGTTGTTTTTTTTTTAAAGAGGAAGGCATACAAAGCTGGTAGCTTTCACTTTCCAATCCTGGCTTCTACTTTGGTGTGTTGATTTGTCTGTCCAGGGGCCAAAGAATGAGTCTCTGTTTTCTTGCTCATGCAATACTGTTGATCCCCACTCATCTAGGAAACAGTCCACTTTTTCTCTTTCTTTCTTCAAGCCCTCCTCCTCCTCCTTCTTCTTCTCCTTCTCTCCCAAATACCTATCCCACCCTTTCTGCCCCTCTTGTCCTCTTGCCCGGAGTGAAGTGGAGACATGTGTTTCCCTGCACCTGCGTGGAGAGAAAGGAAGAAAAGTGAAGTCAGATCTCTCCCTCTCACCCTCCCTCTCTCCCTCCCTGCAGAGGGGAGCAGACAGACTGGCGCCTAGCATGGAACTTTCATTAACCCCAGGCAGATAGCAATGAATCCACTACACAATCACTGGCCTGTCTAATTGGCGAGCATAATGAATGTGGAGGAGTGAAGACTTTCACTTTTAAGCATATCAGTACTTACATTATTCTCTCTGGCATTTATAGATTTATTTGAACTTAAGTAAAAAGGAGTAATTCAAGATATGATGATTTGCTTCAGGGCACATTTGCCTCATATATATATATTTATTATATTATTATATATATATTTACATATATATATGTATCAATTAGGAATATATACGTACCATAACATGCCATCTCCATCTTAATGGCACAACCGCCCTTCTTCTTTGGAGAAATTGCGACTAATGTCCGCAGTCTGAATGGAGAGGACAGAGAAGAGAAGCAAGTTTCAGCAGCTGGCAATAACAGAAGTATATTCTAATAAATGCCCGAGCAGAGGTGTGACATCGCAGAGCACCATCTGCTGCTGTGTGACTGCGGTCTACAGCAGAACAGCAGCGCGATGCGCGCACGTACGCATGCGAACAAACTTTGGAAAATTCACAGAGCACGGCCTTGAACTTTAAATGACTCTGCAGTCCAGATTCATGCAGTGCAAATAACCAGCAGGCAAATTCCTGCCAGTGATCGTGACGAGTGACTGAGGATGTCGGAAAGCGACCCAGCATCAGCCCGCATCTCCCCTCACCTTTATTGACAAAACCATCCCCGGCGTGGCCGTGTCCTCTGCTTCCAGCGCGATCTGCAGGTCGAAGATGTAGTCAATAACGTGTTGCAGGATCTCCACCTGGCTGACCGACTTGTTCTGCGGGATGCTCGGAACCAGCTCCTTCAGCTTGGAGTAGCAGTCGTTCATGTCGCACAGGGCGCTCACCGGCTCATCCAGACAGGAGTGTTTATTCCGGCTGATGGCGAGGCTCTGCTCCGAAATGCAGCACACGGCCTTGTAGCAGCTCCTCACCGAGCGGACGGGACTGATGGCTTTCATGGTGAAAACGCAGGTGAAACTAGAGCGATTCACTCGGCTTGTAAGATTTCCTGCTGAGGTCTTTTCGATCAGTGTCCTGAACAGCTACAGTGCAGTGACAGCGGCGTACACTTTGGTTTTTATAAGGCACGCGCTTGCAGACGCCCCCTTTCTCGTGATTGGCCAATGTAAAGAATAAACCTAATCACATTGGCTGATACGGAATTGGGGAAGCGTTTGGAAGGAATGAGGAAATAAGGTAGGGATGCCTGAAGGGAATTGACAATCGATTTTTTAAGCTATCGTTTTCTGATATTGCTCTTTATTTTAAACAGATGAAAGGTTTTAAAGTAGGTCACTTTGGAGGTGCAGAAGAATACCGTGTAAATGAGGGCTTCTATTACCTATGGGGTTCTGCCTTGTGAATAATAGCAAGAAACGTGGTTTAGAGTTGGACTTTTACTTCTTTCATCACACTTTGTTATCGGTGATCACTGGACTTTCAGGAAATGTGTCTATGTCCAGCCCCTGGAAACACCTCTCTCACAGGCTTCTGAATCGCTTCAGCACATCAGTACGGGCTTATAAAAAGGCTCTATATTAAATCTTATGAACTTCCACATTTTCGGACACACACTCCCTAACAAAGATACAAATATATTGGAAATTTATAACCGATTACAGGCAAAAGGTCAGAGGAAATTAAAGTTTCCAAGAATCACAGGCTCATCCACTTATTCCCTGGCTGTCCATTTAGGGTACAGTGATAGTTCACAGCCTACTGTTTAATCTCACTGTGCCATGAATAACGAAAAATCACTCCTATTATTGAAGCCCTGTGTGCTTAAGATGTCCTTTAATGTAAAAATCTGGCTTCTTTTGGGCGAGACTCTTTATAAAAGTTATATTTTAACCATGTAGAATGTCGCTCCATTTTGGTTTACATCAAAGCACGCCCCGTTCTGCTCCTATTTGGGTCTTATTTTCCTCTTTTCTCACAATCCTGTTTTGTGGAGGAATGCAGGCCTGAGCCAGCTGTGTGTCCTATCCCGGCCCAGCTGTGTTGATCTAACGCGCCAGTCCCAGACATGCTGGCGCCAGCCTCCCGACGTCATCCATTCACCCCGACGCGCACTCCCCTCTTTGGCAGACGGCCCGCCCTCCCCCGTGAACCTTGGGGAGGGAGGGAAGCAGAGGCGCTCGGAGATCGGATTGGCTGAGCGGTTCTATCACTCATTAACCGGACTCTGCGCCTCCACGCTTCTCTGCTTGGGTCTACAGATGGACTCAAGACAGAAGTCGAAGGGAAAGTATTTCTAAATATCCACAGCTTTTGCAATGCTGGATATACGCAACTGTAGCTAGAGATAAATCATGAAAAGTTACAGCACAGCACTGTAGATTCTCTATTTCTGTTCCTAATGAAGAAGTCCAAATGTAACATTTCAGTGTGAAGAGAAAAAAATGATTTGAACAATATGCTGCCCAGTGGTCTGTGGGTGCCACAAAGGTAGCGTGTATGCGATATTTTGCAACCACTCTGAAAGTCTCCACCACAGAGAACTAAAACTTATCATAGGCTCGTTTTAACTGTAGCGTAGGTGGCAACAATGTGAAAAAAACAAAAAAAAAAAACATCGCGTCGTATGCTACAGGAGTAGCTGATTAAAATAGCCGGGTAATACAAAAACTTCAAAATCTTATAAATCTGTGTACAAACATGCTCCCAGAGATGTCCCATCTGCCCAGCGGTTCAACAGATGTTCCACTCACTGCTTTCCTTGTGGCACCCCGCCCCTCCTCACGGCAGTTGACCCTGTATTACGAGTCATTCAGAGACCTCACTTTAGCGCAAACCACATTGAACCGTGAGACGGGACTTCGATCCAGACTATTTTAAAGTCATATTGTGTGAGCAGCGCTGAGTATCTAAACAAGACTTTGACCTAAAGTATCTTTCTTAAATTTGCTGAAGGGAAGGACAAATATTGCTTTGAAATTCCCAGGCTTGGTGGGAAAATAATTGTTTGCGTTTGCTGACCGAGCCAGCTGTCGCGACAGGGTCTGGGTAAAGATTTGGCGTTTGTTAATCAGACAGAAATCACTTTCTTAGTCATTTTAAAGAGCAAGGAGCCATTTCTGTCTTGTTAAAAATGGTAGTATAGCATTTTCCTGTGGTCCTCATTGCCAGGGGCCTGTAGATTCCAGAGTTCCTAGTGCGTAAATCTGTGAAAACGCACACACACGCACTAGTGTGTCTGGGCAGGGATCAGGTGCTTGTCGGAAAGGCCCCGGACACAATCGGGTCTCTCTTTCAATGGATGGGAGAATTCCGAGCCCGGCGTCAGTGAGTCTGCCTCTCTCACCGCCCTCCCTCTCCCTGCTCCTCCATGCAGCTGGACGCAGACAATCAAGCCATCAACAATCGCCACGCATAATTAGCAGCACCCCCTTCTTCTCCCTTCTCTCTTTCTCTCTCCCGATGGCATTTGAATTCACTTTAAAAAAAAAATTCAATTACTATCAAGGAAGCAAAAATACAGTCTGATATTAACATCAGTTCTTCTATGAAAAAAAAAAAAAATCAGTTTTCACATGCAGGATCTCACTCCCCCACTCTTCTTTATCTCTCAAAGCACCTTGTGTTAACATAAACAAAGTGCCTCCTTTTGCACGAAAACAGGGTGTAGGGTAATGAGATGAAACAGAACAAGACAGCAAAGATAAACCTCTATACTGTCCCGTGGAGAGGTAGCTCTGTATACAGAAGGGTATCTTTTTCATCTGCAAGTGCAGACTCATCTTGAGAGGATAATTAAGTGGCAAGAAACTCAGTGAAACTTAATTCTTTATATCCCAAGTGTGTCTGTGTGTGTCTGTGTGCAGGTACACGCCATGCACTGTTGGTGTGTTTTCACTCTGTCCTTCATCAAAGACGCCTCAGTCTTCTCCATCAGCTTTGAGCAGCCTACAGATCCCAAGCTTTTCGCCTTAGTGACCCAGGCAGTGACATGACATTTTATGCACATTGTTGTTTTGTATCGGCCACTTGTTATCTATGTTAGAGTCTCTTGTTCAAGCTTGCGCATAATGATCCTGCTGGATTTGTAGATGAGAGGGTACATAATATGTCAGAAGATAAACTTACCCATACGTCATTCACTGAGTCACACACTCGCCCACTATGTGCCTTTTTCTGTTGTTTTGCTGAATATCCGAATGGAGTGTGTGAACAGGGGTTCTGGGTCTTTGTTGCTACTGAATAGGGAATTAATTTCCGTTGTCCAGCACTGAGAGCGCCAAATGATTAAGCAGCATGTGTCCCAGACATCAGAAGTACAGCATGTAGAGCTGCTGTTTATGTTTAAAAAATCCAGAAGTCGGTAATGTAAGGAAATATTGTGCTGCTCGCTGTGGGAAGAGGTTAGTTGTCATAACTATGTTGACAGGTGGCCCTGTTGATGTCCTTGGGTATGAATAATGCTGTCTAGATGCAAGAACCCATCCAGGCAGTGGAACTGTATAGCAGGTGGGAGACAAGCCACAGAAGGCCATTTAAATCCATGATCACCACACTGGTCCAAAACAAGCTGAGTATAATGTTGAGTGCGGCTTGGCGGGTGGAGACCAGGTGTTGGTCACACTACTGTTTTGTCATTTTCATCAACAGACTGGAACAGTTGGTTTATTCTCTAGCCATCCAATGAGGATAAACATCTGGCTTTCCGTGCACAACCCAGACTTGGTGATTGTGGCTAGGATCTACACCAACTCCACCTGGTGTCTGTGACTTGGTCTGATTAGTCACAACACCTTCCACTGGTCTTCAACTGTAAACAAAAAAGGGCTTGGACTTGAATTCTGCAGGTTTATTCTTTTTCTTTAATCAAGAAATTCATCAACAGTCACTCTTCCATCAGACACTGAGCTTACTGTACAGCTGGTTGGCCATTAATGGAAGTTCTTTGGGCCCAAACCTCTGCTTTCAATGTTGCAAAATATGCACTTCTGTAGACAGCACAAATTGGCTGTGTCTGCTAGTTGTCTCCACAATGCTAGGAAAGAATGAGTCTGATCCACAGTTTTCATTTGGTCTCACCATTGTGGAGCTACAATCTTAACATTTAACCAGAATCAATCCAGGCAACTATTTGCTGATTACTACCAGATGATGACTATATAATTATTTTTGATACAAATGCTCTCGTGTAATAGCTGTTCCTCTCGCAGTTTTTGCAAAGGGGGTATTTGTGGTGCACTATAAACTCACTTGAACTAGAGTTCTGACCTTGCATTTAAAGATTGTCTTGATCCACGCTTTATGTGACATACCCATACAGTGTGGGTAGTACCACGAGGAGAGTTTAAGAGTCGGGGTCCAAGTCTGTTATACTGATCTATCTTGCTGTAGTGCTAGCCGGCATGTTGCGGTTGCAAGCTACCATCGAAATGGAAATAAACTAATTCCAACATTTGTGACCAATTACATGATGTAATGGTATTGGTACGAAGTTTTAAGACAAAAGAGTTTGGTTGAAAATTCTGACATCTACTTGCATCTACTAGCTGAGGCGTTCAGGGTCAAATATGGCTGTCCAACTTCCTGACAGACCCCACGGAAGTTAATACATGTGGTTTTGTATGAAGAACACATGGACCGGGAAACATGATAGAGAAATACAAACAGGAAATTTGCTTGGGTGATGAGAAAGCAGTCCAATGAAGGGAGCGAGCTGAGAGGGGCAGAGAAAATTGGTGTGGAAAATGTCTGAGATACACACTTGAGGATGAGTGACAGAAAGGAGAAAGAGACACTCAGACTGTGAAAGAAAGAGAGGAATTGAGAGAAAGAAAGCTGTAGAGGGGTCTGACACTGTGGCGGATGCTGCAGGGGTTCAGCTGGTCAGGCTTCACAGAGACACACATACAGAGGCCATTAGGTCCCTGGTGGGTATCTCTGCACCTGTGTGTCATGTGTTTCTAGGTCAAGTGGGTGCCTGATAATCTAAGATGAACCGCAGCAGTGACTTTCTCTTTCTGTCACTGACATTGTATTCTTCCTCCCTCTGCCCCCCCACCCACTCCACATGCATGCATATACAAATACACACACACAATCCACCCCTCCT